CTTCCTTTTTCGTTAAAAATAATTTTTTTAAATTTCCGATAGACTTGAATATTTTTTAAAAATTATTTTCCCCTCCAATTGCCTTAAAATTTAATTTTTGAATTTTTAAAAAATGCTCTGTACCAACAACAACAGTGGAAATACTCCCCCTGAACGGAGAGACCCTGTCCCGCATAGAGGATTTAATGCTAAAGCTAGAGAGGTGATTTTAAATAATTATTTAAATTAATTAAACCAGAGAAGAAAAAATAGTAGGGGAAAATGAGAGAGACAAGCGTTGGCAGACATTGTCTCTCTTATTTTCCTATAGTCTTTTTGGGGTTTTTAAGGAGTGATTTTTGTGGGCCAAAAATAAATTTAGAATTAATTTTAAGTATTTTCTAGACCTTAAAAAATTTTTTAAAAATTTTCAAAAAAAAATTTTCCTTCAATTTTAGGTCCTTTTGGATTCAGAAAAGAGTCGTTATTGGGAGTTTTTGAGTCGAAGTGTTCACAAAGCTGAAAGGGCTAAAATGTGTCCAGCAAATAATTTTCGTCGTTGTGGTGAGCTTAAAAAATTCTTGTAAAAATAAAATAAATTTTCAATTTAGGCAGTGACGAAGAATTTTTGCGTAGAGTTCGTATTGGTAGAACAGAAAGTGAGGGTGGGGACTCTTCTGGGTCCCGTGGAAGTGTTTCTGGGGAAAATAAAATTAAAGGAATTACAAATGGTAAGGAAATAAATTTTGAGATTAAAAAATATTTAAGTTAAAAATTAAAAATGTATTCTTGGTGTAGTGGGAAAATTGTAATTTCCCTTGTGTAGGGGTCGCAGGTTCGAACCCGCTCGTGGAAAATTTTTTTTTCTCAGAAAAAATATTTTTTGGCAAAAAACCAAGAGTACATTACAAAAAATTTGGAAAAGTATTTTTGGTGTAGTGGGAAAATTCTTAGTTTTCATTGTGCAGGGGTCGCGGGTTCGAACCCGCTCGTGGAAAATCTTTTTTATTTTCTTATAAAATATATTTTTTGGTAGAAAAATAAGAAAAGTATATTCCAGAAAGATTTTAAAAATTTTTTAAGTTGAAGAACACAATGAACAATTCGATGGAATTGATGATTTACCAAAATTAGAATCGAAACTACAAAAATTAAAAAATCGAACATTACAAGAAATTGGAAAATCTCTTTCTGCTTATGATTTAAATGTTAATGGAAAAAGGAAATGATTGAAATGCAAAAATTTTTTTATTAATTTCATCAGCTATTTTTAAGGAAAAGAGGATGCAAGTTTTACCAAAAAATTAAATAAAGCTGTATGTGCGGGGTTGGTGTAGTGGGAAAAATTGTGACCTTAGCAAGTAAGGGTCGGGGGTTCGAATCCTGTCGTTCCCAAACTTTTTTCTTTTGAGAAATTTTGATAAATTTTTTGAAAAAATAAATTTCAGAGTCTTAAAAAATTTTTCCTTTTTATTAGGAAGAATTTTCTTGGATTTATTAAGGATTTATTAATATTGACTATCTTATTAATTTAAATTTGTTAACAAAACTTGCACAAAATTTTTTATTAAAAAAATTTTTTTTCAACATCTACAATTTTTATTTGATCTCATTTTCCTTTTGTTGATTCAATTTGATTTTTAAAAACACAAAAACATCTGTGCTCATTTTTGTAAATATATTTTTTCTCTCTTAATTTTCTCTTTGTCTCTCAAAAGCTTTTAGATTGAAAGCCATAAAGAAGGGAGGAGATATTTTTAAATAAAAGTTGGTAGATCAAGTATTTTGATAACTTTTTTTGTATATAAATTTATTTTTTTATTTTTGTGTTCCCTTCTATTTTTACTTGCTTAATACCCCATTTTGTATATTTTCTTTTTTTGCCAAAAAAAAATTTTTTTTCTCCTAAAAAAATTAATTTCTTCCCAATATTCCCCCTTTGACTTTTTTAATGTGTGTACTAATTTTTGTTTTAATTTTATATTAGTAAAAAAATTCTTTTTTTAATTTTTGAATTTATTTTAGTTTTTTAACAAAATTGGGGTAATTTTTGGGATAGCTAAAAATTCGAAAAAAAAAATTTTTTTTATAAAATAAATCAACTCCAAAAATATAAACGAAACTACCCGTTAAAATTAGAGACCGGACCGAGACGAGATCTCGATCGAAAATCTCAGTTATCGAGATCGAGAATTTTACGAGACCTCGATTCTCGTACGACACTCCTAGTCCGGTCTCTAATTAAAAATGAAAAAAATTTTTTGAAAATTATTTTTGGGGCTAAAAAATTTTTTATTCTTAATTAATTAAATTTTCAACAAGCCAATTTACGTATTAAAATAAATAATATTTATTTTTGGTATTTTTAATTGTTTAGCTGCCAATATATTCAATATCTTTTTTTTTTGCAAAAATATAAACAAGCAATATGTGCTATATCCATGCGCGAAAATAATTTTTTTTTGTAAAAATAATTATAACTCTTATAAAAAAATGTGTTTAGGCTCTCCTATAATTAAAATTTAATTACACGTTTTGCTTAGTTTTTGCCTAGTCGGCGCGACAATTTTAGTTAAAGTGATCCTTTTTGCCTTTTTTCTGGTCCCAGCTATGTTCATCTTGAAAAACAAACAAATAATTGTCCATAAAATGATTCAAAATTTAAACAAAATTAAGGCAAATCAACTTAAAATTAAAGCTTTTTGCCTTAATTTTTCTTGAGTTTCGCTTACTTATTTAGCCATAACTTTTTGTAGCAAGTTCTGATCAAATCGATCCTGTTAGATAAAATAATCCTCGAATCAAGAGCTTTCGTTTGGTATATAAATCATTCAAATCAGTTAAGAATCCAAAAAAGTTATGGCCCAAAATATGGCCTCTATTCACTTCATTTTCATGAACTGCGCTCACTTATTTAGCTATAACTTTTTGTAGCATGCTCTGATCAAATCAATCCTGTCAGATAAAATAATCTTCACATTAATAGCTTTCGATTGATATATTGACCATGCAAATCGGTTAAGAAACAAAAAAGTTAAGGCCCAAAATGGGACCCTATTCACTCCATTTTTAAATAAATATGTATTACTTTTTGGCATTAAAAATTAATTTTTGGCGTAATGTTTAAAATTCTAATTTTGGTCATTTAATCTTTTTGCAACATTTCTTTTTGCATTTCTTTTCTTAAAAATTAATTTTTTTCGAGTAATTTTATTTTTAATAATCATATTTTTCTTATAGATTTGTAAGCAATTCTATTTTTATTATAAGACACCTATTTATTATTTAAAATCTTCCACTACTAACGCGTCACAGTTTTTTTATTGTTCTAGATGTATGACATTGACGTAAGTTTTAGTAATTTTTTTTTAATTTATTGGATTGAGGTTTGTTTTTGTTTTCTTAAAATATTAGGAGACTTCTCACTGACAGACAATTTACCGAAAAATTGAAAATTAGGCAAAAATTTACCTGGGTGATCTTTTGTCCTTCGGTAAACTGTCTCTTGTTGGGCAACTTTTATTCCCTACTTCTCTAATAGATCATATTTAACATAGAAATTGGTTTTTTGAGTGGGTTGGGTAGTTATTAAACTGATATTCCCTATAATTTTTAATTGTCCGCAAATCAATTTTTTGTCCGCAAATATTTGCGGACAAAACTAAATTTATACAGAATTGATATTTTTACTTATTTTTAGTTTCTAAACCGGCTGAGTCGTACACTTTGTGAAGCAGTCAATGAACAGGATAGACGTGTTGCTGAAGAGACGCTTTCAAAATTGATTGACTCTAACCAATGTCTGCAACATTGTCTTTTGCTTTTGGAAAGTGGAGAGGTTTTTTTGAATTTTTTAAAAGTATTTTTGTTTTAAAGCAACCATATGCACAAGTTGTTGCTAGTGGAGCGTTGAAGCGCTTGTTAAACAAAAAAGTCAGTTTGAGCCTTCAGGACCGTCTTGAATTAAGTTGGTTTTTTTAAATTTTATTCAACGAGGATTAGAGATCGAGCTGGTCTGGACCAAGACCAGGGGTTTTTTGTTTTAGAGTTCAGGCCCAGGCATTTTTGACCTTCTTGGGTTTTTCCTGGACCTGGGTTTTTCTTTGACTACATGCCCAGGATCCAGCCCAGGTTAATAAATCAAACTCCAGAGGCTAGGAACAGGCCCAGGTTTTTCAAAAAATTCCCATCTCTAGCAAGTATGCCTGTCCAATCTCCACATTTTATAGTGGGTCTAGTTCCTACACATAATTTTTCTACACCTCAGCGTCTTTAAGGGGTTTATTAAAATCCTCGTTTTGTCCAGTGATTAATTTTTGTGCCGATTTAGCCTAAAAATATCCGCAACTATTATTCAAAAAATTCCATAACAATAAATTTTCTCTTTAAAAGGTCGTTATTTGTTGAAATACCTTGTTGACCGTCCTTCTCTTCCTCTCTACATTCAGAACCCTTTGTGTAAATTGTATGCTTATTTGACCAAAATTGGATTGTTGGAGAAAGACCAGACTGGAACATTTCATTTTCAAATGCCGATAGATCAAATTTTGACTTTGGCCAAGGTTTCTTTATTAAATTGAGTCGTACCTCTTTAGATACACCAATATAACTCCGAAAATGGCTCCATAGCAGATTAGACGCAACTGAAAAAATTTCCGCAGTCCGCAATTTTTATTTTATAATCCGCAGTTTTTATAATCCGTCCAGCCCTGTTTTATAGGGAAAAATGGCCAAAATTGGCAAAGCAAATAACATTAATACTCACGATTTAAGTGGGACACATTTAGGATACCCACGTTTTTCTAAATTCGATAGTTCACTGTGGAGAGAGTGCCTGAGCGTTACCTTCTATTTAGATATATCTCATTATTTGAGACTATCCTATAACCCTTATTATTATATAAAAGTGTGGTCCGACTTGTATTTTTAACATTAAGAATTTTTTCATTAAAATTATTTTTTAGGAGCCTACAGCAGAAGGAACTATAGGCTTAAAGTTGTTAAATTCTTTGGTCGAAGAAATGAATTTGGTTTTTATTTTTATTTTATTAATTAGGAAAAAAAATTTTTTTAAGGAGGAAGGCTTTGAATCTGTTAGCAAGCAAAGAAAGATTTCTGGTTCTTTTAGAGATACTCGACTTTTGGATATTTTTATTGTTTCGTTGGATATTCTTAAACAAGCTGCTGAAGCTAAAACTTTGAATGACTCTATGGTATAGTTTAAATTTTTTTACAAGATTTTCTCTATAGTCGCTGGAAATTAGTAAAAAGCCGAGGCCAATGAATTCTCGTTTTTCCTTAATCCCGTCCTAATTTTTTTCTTTTTCCCAATTTCTGGTGGATAAGAGTGGGCGGATTCCCCCTCCCCCGGTTATGAGCCTGATTAAGGATGTTACAATTTGAGAAAATAGACATTTTTAAATAAGCTTTTAAAAATAGAAAAAGTTGTGAATTTAGTTGGTGATGGGTCGATTTAGTCCAAAAAATTCCCTTTTTTCCTCAATTCCCTCCCCAAATTTTCTCCTTTTCCTCATTTTCGGAGGGAAAGGAGTGGAGACTAATGCTGTGAAGGCTAATGTAATCGGGGAATTACACGATCCATTGTCCCACAAGTTTGTTGAGAATCCCGGTTTTTATTTATTTTTTGCTAGGATCTTTGATAGGTTTCTCATCCCTTTTTGTCAATTTTCAGCTTTTATGAAAATTTAAATTTTATTTTTTTTTCAGTTATCATATATCACATTAGCACTTGATCTCTCCTTTGCTTGTACTAATTATGACTTTTCGGGTATTGTAAATGATGAAACTTTGGATGAGGGCAATAATGTACAAATACCTACAAAATGGCGACCAGGTTTTCTTCCAGAATTTTTGCCTGAAATTTTTTTCATTTTTTTTCAGTTTTGGTAGAAAAACAAGTTGTTACAATGTTTTTTGATCTCTACTTTGTTTTGCCTGAACAAATTATTTCTAAAGCTTTTTTAACTTTGGTTTGAAATTTTTTTGAGATTTTTTTTAAATTTATTCTCGTTTAAAGGTCCAATTAGTCTCTATCCGCCGTCTACTCTTTGATGGTGTTGATCGTCTCAAATTTTTGGATTCTTTTATTTGCGGGTTAAAAAGGGTGCTGGAAAGTCCGCAAAAGTTGAGTTATCCGGTTGGTAAAATTTTTTTTTAATTTTTTAAGATTTTTTTTTTTTTAAGATTTTTTTTTAGCCCTTTCGATATTTTTATTATAGTGTTTTTTTCTGTTGTTCTTTTGGTATTAAATTAATTACCCCCTTTTAACTTGTGTTTTGGTGTAATGGATAGTGGGTTGGGTTTGATAATTTTGGGGGAGGAAGGTTCGATTCCTCTAGTGGTCTAATTGCTGTCTGTGGACTTAATTTATTGAAGAAAAATTTTCTTGAATTTTTTACGTGTTTAAAAAAATTTTTTCCATCTCCTTTTGACTTATTCTACTAATTTTTAAAATATTTCATTAATTTTATTTCAATTTTAGGATAATTTCCATCAATTTTGCCGTATTTTAAGCCGTTTAAAGGCCAACTATCAAGTCTCAGAATTAGTTAAATGTGGAGATCAATTCAATAATTTATTGGAATTATTAACAGTATTTACTCAACAAAGTCTTCAAATGTCTCATTTATTTACTCAAAGCAGCATTTTTTATTTAATGTCTTTTTGGAGTAGAATGGCTGGTTCGCTTACTTATGCAAGGGTTGATGTTGATTTGGTTTGTGAAAATTTTTTTTTGAAGATTTTTTTGAGGGGAGGGGGTGGTTCTTTAGGCTAGGAGAATAGTCAAAATTCTCCAAAAAAAATTTTTTTTTAATTAAAAAAATTTTTTTTTTAAAGATTTCGGCTGCTATCCCAAAAGTATGTTCAGCCTTTATCCGTTCGAGAGTATTGCTATCTGAGAATGTTGTTAGGTATTTTTCAAATTAATTTTTATTATTCTAAATATTTTGCCCTTTATGTAAATTCAAATTTTTTACTATTAAAAAATTTTTTTTGTTTGTCCGCAAATAGTGTCCGCAATTTTTAAAATTTTAAAATTAAATTTTTTCTAGAGGAAATATTGAAGACCCTCTCGAAGATTTGGGTTCAGTTAAGCAATTAATGGAGCTTTTTACAGTTATTTCCCGAAGTGACTATAAAACTTCTGTAGAAGAGTTGGTCAGAAATTTTGAAGAAAGTTTGGGTGTTTTGTTTAGACAGGGAGTTAGTAATCAGGTTTTCTTTAAATTTTTAAAATTAAAAATTGTGAATTTAGGATCAATTAATAGCCAGAAAACAATTAATTTGGCTAATTACAATGATGGCTGCTGGTATAAATGGGAAAGGTTCTGCTGGTTATGGGGATGATGAAGATGTGTATGATGGAGAAGTTGTGTTTAGAGTTTGGAAGGTTTTTAATTTTTTTTTGGATTTTTTACAAGGGAACATTCCGAATTGTATGTAAAAATTTTGAAAAATTTTTTGCTTTAATATTAAAAATGAAGGAGACTCTGCCACTCTAAAATACTGAAATTTTGATTAGCTATAACTTTTCAATTTGTGGGTATGGAGGAAAAGTCAAAAACGGCCAATAGGTTATCGACTGCTCTACACGATATTGAAAAAATTTTTTTGAGATTTTTACATACAGTTCGAAATGTTTTCTTGTTAGTATTAAAAGTCCGCAAATATTTTATTTTCTAAAGGACATCTTTCTTCAAACTTTAAATCTTTTTCGACTTCCATCCTTCTGTTTTGACTTTTTTTCCACATTTTATTCACTTTTTAAAAAACGGAAGAGCCCGATCCTGCTCTTTACTAATAAAATTTTTAAGTCCACAACTTGCGGACTGTAATTTTTTTTAATCAAAAATTGTCCACAACTTGCGGACTATATTTGCTGATTTTATTTAAATTCTAAAAATTTCTTTAAAATTTATTTAAAGACAATGCAAATGACTGACCAACGCTTAGAAAGTCAACAACCCGGTGCTGTTGATATTCAATTAGAATTTGCTTATATTTATTTAATGGATGAATTTAGAAGAACTTGTATTACAGACCAAGCAGTACGGGAAAGTAAACTTTATGAAAAACTTGCTCCTTTGGGAATTAACGATGAAGTTGGTGTTTTGAGGTTTTTTGCTCAGAAAATGTAAATAATTTTTTTTAAATTAAATTTTTTTGTTAAATAAATATTAAAATTCCCCAAAAATTATTAAAGAGTGACCGGGAAATCTTTTCATTTTCAAGCCCCTCAACCTTATTAGGTCCTCCAACCATGTTGAACGAAATTTTTTCTTAATTTTTTAACATGTCGAGGTTTGATGTTCAAAAAAAATTTTTTTCGACTTGCTTTTAGGTGTTTTAAAAGTTTGAGTGAGAAATATTCTAATAAAATTCTTACCTTAATTTTTGGAATGAGGAGATTAAGGTAGGAAGTGGAGGGAGGAGATGGGATTTCATTAAGGACCTTTTTCAACTTTTTTCTCAAATTTTGTCTTTAATTAGCCGTTTAAATTATCCAACTTGTACTTTCACAAAAGATATTTACCTTGTGTTTTGATTGATTCTCAAGTTCGTTCCCTAATTAAAACCTTTTAAAAAATAGTGACATTTTGTCCCAATTTTTTAAGGAAAATTATTTCATTTTAAAAATAAAATTTTTTTAAATTTTAGAATAACAAATTTAAAATTTTGGGGAAAAGATGAAAGAATATTAAATTCAACATTAGCTCTTTTAAATGATTTAACTGCTGGTTATTCAAATATTAGACGTTTATTAAAAACACAAGAAATTCAATTATTATTGAGGAATCATGCTGTAAATTTTTAAAATAATTTTTTTAAATAATTTTTTTTTTTAATTTTAAAGGTTTTTGATTTTGTTGCTACCAACGAAGATATTTCTATAATGCGTTCTAGAACAAATTTTTATTCGTCTTTAATGCGTTTAGTTAATATTGAATTGGAGGAAGAGCCAGCCTTTTTTGATGAATTTATGGCTCCGATTACAGGTTTATAAAGAAAATTTTTCAATTTTTTTGGAGGGAGGGGAGGGTTTTATTTTAAAAATTTTGGGAATAAATTTGAAAAATTAATTTTAGGGGTAAAAAATTATTTTTTGAATAAGATGACATTTTATCCCAAATTTCCAATAAAATTGTTTCATGTGTTAAAAATTTATTTTAAATTTTTTTTCAATTTTTTATAGTTTTTTGCTCTTAAAAATTCGAGGGAAAATTTTAAAGATTAATTTTTGAGGCTAGTTTTTTTTTGGAAATATGACATTTTGTCCCAAATTTTTAAAAATTTATTTTCTCTTATAAAAATTAAAAAAAAATATTTTTTTCAGTTAAATTCAAAGAAATTTCTGCAATATTTCAAAATGGCAATATATCCTCTTCTGTTAATGAAACTCAAATTCGAATGGCTGTTATTGGATTTATGCGTGATTTGCGAGGAATTTCTGCATCTTGCACGCGGAAACAATTTTATTTGAATTTTTTGTTGTGGTGGTAAGTTTATTTTTTGTTTTAATCAAATTCTGATTTTTTAAAAATTAAATTCTGATTTTGTTTTTTACTAAAATTCTGAATTTTATTTCTACGTTTTGTTCAGATTAAGTTCTGATTTTGTTTTTATTCAAATTTTAATATGTTTTAAACAAGTTCTGATATTTTAAAGTTAAATTCTAACCTTGTTCTAATCAAATTCTGATCATGTTTTTAACAAATTCTGAATTTTTAATTGTTTTAATTAAATTCTGGCCTTGTTTTAATTAAATTCTGATTTTATTGCCATCGTCGTTTTTGTTCAGATTAAATTCTGATTTTTAAAATTAAATTCTGATTTTGTTATTAAACAAATTCTGATCATGTTTTTATACTAATTCTGAATTTTTAATTGTTTTAATTAAATTCTGACTTTGTTTTAAACAAATTCTGATTTTATTACCATCGTCGTTTTTGTTCAGATTAAATTCTGATTTTTAAAATTAAATTCTGATTTTGTTATTAAACAAATTCTGATCATGTTTTTATACTAATTCTGAATTTTTAATTGTTTTAATTAAATTCTGACTTTGTTTTAAACAAATTCTGATTTTATTACCATCGTCGTTTTTGTTCAGATTAAATTCTGATTTTTAAAATTAAATTCTGATTTTGTTTTTAAACAAATTCTGATCATGTTTTTATACTAATTCTGAATTTTTAATTGTTTTAATTAAATTCTGACTTTGTTTTAAACAAATTCTGATTTTATTACCATCGTCGTTTTTGTTCAGATTAAATTCTGATTTTTAAAATTAAATTCTGATTTTGTTTTTAAACAAATTCTGATCATGTTTTTATACTAATTCTGAATTTTTAATTGTTTTAATTAAATTCTGACTTTGTTTTAAACAAATTCTGATTTTATTACCATCGTCGTTTTTGTTCAGATTAAATTCTGATTTTTAAAATTAAATTCTGATTTTGTTATTAAACAAATTCTGATCATGTTTTTATACTAATTCTGAATTTTTAATTGTTTTAATTAAATTCTGACTTTGTTTTAAACAAATTCTGATTTTATTACCATCGTCGTTTTTGTTCAGATTAAATTCTGATTTTTAAAATTAAATTCTGATTTTGTTATTAAACAAATTCTGATCATGTTTTTATACTAATTCTGAATTTTTAATTGTTTTAATTAAATTCTGACTTTGTTTTAAACAAATTCTGATTTTATTACCATCGTCGTTTTTGTTCAGATTAAATTCTGATTTTTAAAATTAAATTCTGATTTTGTTTTTAAACAAATTCTGATCATGTTTTTATACTAATTCTGAATTTTTAATTGTTTTAATTAAATTCTGACTTTGTTTTAAACAAATTCTGATTTTATTACCATCGTCGTTTTTGTTCAGATTAAATTCTGATTTTTAAAATTAAATTCTGATTTTGTTTTTAAACAAATTCTGATCATGTTTTTATACTAATTCTGAATTTTTAATTGTTTTAATTAAATTCTGATTTTTTTCTTTTTTCAGTTTTTCCAATGGTGATTCAAATGTTTCCAATTTATTCACGGTAATGCAAGAATCAATAAAACTCTGGATTGACAATGCTGATGTTGTTACACCAATTTTAAAATTGTTGGCAGAATTAGTAATGATAGACAATCGAGACTACAATATGATATGCAAAGTTGTATGGCTGTTGTTTTGTTTAGAAATATTGCTAAAGTTATTTGTGAATATGGTGAGTTTGTTTTAATTAAATTCTGGTTTGGTTTTGTATGTTTTTTATTAGATTGTGATTTTTAAAATTAAATCCAGAGGTGTTTGAATTGATTTCTGAAATTGTTTGAAATTGTTTGTTTGTTTTTATTAAATTCTGGTTTAGTTTTATATGTGCTTGTATTAAATTCTGATTTTCAAAATTAAATCCGAAGGTGTATCTTGTTCAGATTAGATTCTGAAATGTTTTTATTGAATTCTGGTTTGGTTTTGTATGTGTTTGAATTAAATTCTGGTTAAGTTCAGATTAAATTCTGAAAATGTTCTACACATGTTCTGAATTTTGTTTGTGTTCTGGTTTTGTTTTTATTAAATTCTGAGATTGTTTAAATTAAATTCTGATTTTTTTCAATAGGTACTAGATTGCTTTCATTACCTCCAGTTCCAAAAGAACACCATTACAAACAACGTATTAAAAACACTGGTGTTTGTTGTCAAATAATTAAAAATGTTTTGGCTGGGAATTATTTACCTTTTGGTGTTTTTTATATTTATGGAGATACTTGTATGACTGACACTTTGGATATTACTTTTAAATTATTTTATAAATTACAAGAAGAAAATTTTTTGGTAATGGACTGCTTTTTTCCTCAGTTTTTAAATTAAAAAATAATTTTTTTTCTAGGTTTATCCTAAATTGACCCAAGCAGTTTATGGTTTTCTAGACATTGTGACTAAGGACTGCACGGTAAAAAATTAAAAAAATTAAAGAAAAATTTTTTTGGAACAAAATTTAATTTTTAATGGCCAGAAAATTTATTTTTTAATTAAGAAAGATTTTTTTCTAATTTTTTTTTGAAGGCATACATTTCAAAAATGGAAGAAATTTATTTTATTGCAATATTTCGAGCTATTCATCGCGGTATTTGTTCTGTAGGTAAGACAATTTTTTACTTGGCAATAGTTTTTTGGTTCCAGGATATGTCAACAACATTTACTAATAATTTGGGAATTAATAATAATTTATCGTCATTTTCATCTTCACCTTTCTCCAATATTTCTTTTGCTGGTGAGGAGTGGGGGCAATTGTTTATATTCACTCATTTTTATTTTCTTTTTTATTTTAATTTCTTTAAAAATCTCTTTAATAATTTCTTTTTATATTTTAATTTCTATTTTTTAAATTTATTTTTTTATTCAAAATTCTTAACTATTAATTTTCTTAATTCTTATTAACAAGGGAAAAGTTTTTAGTTCTGTCCATTTAAGGGGGGATTTTAAAAATCAGAATTTAATTTAAACATAATTAAATCAGAATTTTCTTAAAACAACACATAATTGACGCAACAAAATCAGAATTTAATTAAAACATGAACTGTTAAATAATAATGTTCATAATTTCTTGTTCAGCTTAAACCAGAATTTAATCTGAACATTTTTAAAATTTATTTATTTTCTTTAGAAGTATGGGATGTTTTAATAAAATTCTGAAATTATATATGTTTAAATTAAATTCTGATTTTAAATATAGACCTTTTTTATGCTTAAAATTATTTTTTATTTTTTTATTCAATTAGACACAACAGCAATTTCAACAAGTTGTTCAATTCTTGATCAAGTTATTACTTATGTTTTTGAACAATTAACACAACAACCGGGAACAACAAGTATGATACAATTATATAGGGAGCCAGAAGGTGATAGATGGAGAACGGCTTTTGAAAAACAACCAAATGTTTTGTATGAGGTGGGGGTGTTTTTGAATAGATAATTTATAAAACATGATCAGAATTCTATTCGAACATGTCGGAATTTATTTTGAATAAAACTAGAATTTAATCTGAACATTTTTGGAATTTATTAAAACAAAATCAGAATTTAATCTGAACAAAATTAATAAAACCAGAATTAAATCTGAACTCGACCAGAATTCTATTAAAACAAAATCAGAATTTAATTCAAACATTTTCAGAAATTCTCTATTAATCTTTTTAATATTTAGATGCTTGTTTCAATTCTTTCCCAAATATTGTTTGAAGAAGTAAAATGTCAATGGTCAATGTCTCGTCCACTACTTGGCTTAATTATTTTAACAAGAGAGTCTGGCCGTTTTGATGAATGTAAAAGAGAATTTCTTCGTCAACAACCAGAAAATTATCAATTGGAATTGGATAAGGTAAAAAAAAAATTAATTTTTTAGTCGGGGCTGATTTATAGTAGTATACCCCTCTGGCATCTGAAAGAAAAGCATCCTTATATTAAGTTGGTTAAATTGGGGATATATTTTAAATTGAGTTATATCTTGGGTACATTTCTGTTGGTGCAGTCGAATTAACTTGTCGTCTCTTTAACCCGCCACCTCCTCACATTTGACGTTCTTCTGTACGTCAGCTCAATTTCTTCCCTTAGGGTTCTCCATAGGTAAGAGAAGGTCAATAAAATTTTTTTATTTATATGGGAGTTGACTGCCAAATAAAATTTTAAATTAAATTTTTAATTTTCAAAGGCATTTACTCGCCTTATGGATGGAATAGCCAAAAATGTGACCTTAAAAAATAAAGATAATTTTACTCAAAATCTGAGCACATTTCGTAAAGAGGTAAAATAAAATTTAATTTTTTCCCAAAATTTTTTTCCAAGGTTGATATAATCCTTAGAGGTGGAACTGTTGTTTCTTCTTCTACAGATATTCCGGTAACTACAAGTATAGGGTCTGAACAAGAATATACGGATAATATGACTGATTAAAGGAAGGAATAAATGAGAGGAAGGAGGAAGGAAGTTTTTTTTTAATTATTTATTTTTGAAAAAATAAAATATATCTCATATAAATAAATTTTTTAACAAAAAGTCTTTTAAAAAGACTATAAAATTATTTAAGAAAATGATAATTTTTTCAGACTTACACATAGATACGGATAATATCCCCGGATCTAACTGGTCAATAAAATTTAAAAAAAGCAGGATCCTTTTTATATCCGCGGATTTGGATCAATATGGATAATGTTTTTTTTCAAAAAATCAAACAGATACGGATGGGTACGGGTATGATACTCTAAATCCATGTATATTCATCTCAAAGTCTCCCCCTGCTAAAATCCATGTCTATGTGCAAGTCTGATTTACTTTTTTTTTGTTTTTTTCTGATTCATATAAATTTATTTTTTTTTTGTTGTTTGAATAAAATCTAGAAAGATTTAAAAATTGGAAAGTTTAATTACGATGTGTTTTTTTTTGAAAGTGTAACAAAATTTGGCCAATAAAAATATAAATCATGTTTTACCAGCCTCACTTTGTTTATAATTTTTTGATAAAAAATTTTTTCTTATTTTTTTTTTGTACTTCATATATGTGTTCGTATTTACATAAAATATCTATTTTAATAATATGATAATTTTATTTTTTGTATATTTTTTCAGATGAATTATTTTCCAATTTAAATGTGTTCATGGTAAAATTAAGGCCAACCTCCACACATTTTTCTGTCAGAAATTTAGGGTAAAAAATTTTTATTTTTTTTTCTTAAATTTTTTAAAATTTAAAGTAATTATTTACGAGGACCTGTTATTGGAATTAATTTTGGATTTACAAATTCCTCTGTGTCCATTTTAGAAGACAGAAAAGCAAAGGTTTTTATCTTTTAATTTTTTTAAAAATTGACCGGTTTCTTGACCTTGAATTAAAGGATATCCAAGGAATTTAGAGAGTAAAGAAGGATGACAGGGGATTTGTGGAGATTAAAAGTTTTTGGTGGATTTCGGGTAATAAAGGAATATCAGGGAATTTGGTGAATTTGGAGATACCGTTGGATTAGGAGGGATATCGAGGATTAGGAGGATTTGTGTCAAAAAAATGAGGAACCTGGAAATGCCTTGACTCCGGATCTAGGAAAAAGTTGATCTCTATTAATCTGTTAAATATTTTTAGGTTCTCAAAAATGACGAAGATGCTTTCACTACTCCCTCAGTTGTTGCCTTTACTGAAGATGGGGAATATTTAGTTGGTGCCCCAGCTGTGAGACAAGCTGTTTTGAATAGTCAAAATACAATTTTTGGTATTAAACGATTAATTGGACTCAAATATGAGGATAAACAAGTTCAGGATTTTATGTAAGAAATTTTTCCTATAAATTTAAGAAGTCTATAGTTAACTGATTAGCCATAACCAAATTTTTTTGATACCTGTATGTTATCCCAATTCAATTTTTTACATGAACTCGGCAATATATCCCCTCCAGAAATTTAGTTCGCGGCTTAACTTGATCCTTTTTAATGAATTTGTATAGGAAGGATTCCAAGAGGTCGCAGGATCACCCACGTCTAAGCGTTTATTTACCTCTCGATAGTTTTATAAATTTTTGAATGCGTTGACCTCCTCTCCACATTTTTCTGCCATCCTAGGTTCTTTCACTCCCCTTTTAACCCTCAATTGTTTCTTTTACGGAAGTAAAGCCCTTTCGTTCTAACATAAACATTTTTCTCATTTTGTTTGATGACTCACAAGTAAATTTGCTCCACTTTAAAATTTGTCCTCATAAATATGTTCAAGTGATCATTTGGGGAAAATTTACACATATTTTTCTTTTACAGGAAAACCATCCCATACAAAATTGTAAAATCTTTTAATGGTGATGCTTGTATTGAGATTCAATCAAAGCTTTATTCTCCTTCACAAATTGTTTCCTTTATTTTACTCAAATTGAAGCAGACAGCCGAAAATTATTTAAACAAAAAAATTAGGGAAACAATAATTACAATTCCTGGATATTTTAATGATTCACAAAAACAAGCATTGGAGGAAGCTGGTAAACTTGCGGGAATGAAAATTTTACGGTTTGTTGATGATTCTGCTACTGCAGCTGCAATTGATTGTGATTATGGACGAGGATCACGCGAAATGTTTGTTGTTTTTTATTTAAGTGAAATTCTGGCCCACTTTTCTCTAATTCTCCACTACTTTCCCCATATCCTCCAATTATTTCGATAAACGGGACGAGGGACTTAAATTTCTTGGAAAATGAATTTTGTCTTTAACTTCCCACTCCGAGCTTTAGTGAGGTTTCCTAAAATTAATTTTATTAAAAAATTTCTAGTGCTGTTTGTAACTTAAATGGAGGCATTTTTGAATTTTCCATTTTGAGAGTTCAAGATGAGGCTTATGAAATTTTGTCAACTAATCACAATCCTTTACTAAGTGGCGATGCTTTCAATAATACTATTGTAAATTATTTTGTTTCTGAATTTGAACGAGAAAATGGAATTGATTTGAGCAAGGTTTTTTAAATTAAAAAAAAATTTTAAAAGTTAATTGTTCTTTGTAGTTCAAATCCTGGTCCATTCATTTGTTATCTTTTTTTCCTTCTTTATTGATCTTTTCCCGGTTCCTCCTAAAAAACAAGCGGTTTAAATTTTTTATGGATCCCTGAACATGTCGAAGATTCTCCTTATTTTTACCTAAGGCAGGGAAACTGAAAAAAAGACATGGCAATTTTGGTTATATGCAGAAGAGTCTTCCTATTTTATCTGACACGAGAATTGGCGTTAGTTTAGTTACAATTTTATTTTTTAAGGACCCTGTTGCAATTCAACGCTTGCGTAAAGCTTCTGAAAAGGCAAAATGTCGACTTTCAAGTTGTACACAAACTGAAATTATTCTTCCAAATATTTTTGTTGATACTAATGGACCTCCTAAACATTTTCGAATAAAATTGACACGTTCAAAATTTGAGGAATTGACTGAAAATTTGATACAAAAAATTGAACAACTTGCTCAAAGAACATTAAATGATGCTAAAATGGCAAATCAAGCAGATGATAAGGATTTACAATTAAATGAGGAGGAGGATTTACAATCTACTGGAGTTACCTCAGTTTTGACCATTGGAGGGATGTCTAAAGTACCTAAGGTTTTTTTTTAAATTTTTCAAATTTATTTTTCATTATTTCTCTCCCACTCGCCCCATTTTTTTTCTTTTCCATTTTCTTCAAAAAAATTTTTTGAGGGTCACTCGCCTCTCTGTTTTCCTTTTTTTCTCCAAAAAAGGGAGGGTGGATAATGGAAAGTATATTTTGTTTTGTTTTTTTTTTAATTAATTAAATGTAGATTAGAAATGTTATTGAAGAAATTTTCAAGAAGGAAATATCTGATTCTCAACTTGAAGATGGAGAAATTTCAACTGGAGCCATTTATTTAGGTGTTCTTTTTGGTGATATAAATTATTTGGATGATAGACGAACATCTAAAAATCGAATTTTTACAATGGTATTTTTTATACGCTCATAGGTCCATCTAGCTCATAGGTCCAATCTTGCAAATTTTAATTTTCAATGTCTTTTTTTTTTATTTTTAGGCTTCACAAAAAATGTTTATTGGAGACAGAAAAGCTGTTGGATTACAAAATCTCGCTAAGCATGTTTTTATTTTTATTATTTTTCCAAAGGAAAATTTTTTCTTATAGTTTTGGAGAATTATTACAATTATGATTAAAGAATATTATATTGCATTGCATATTGATATTCGATCAAAAAAAGCAACACGAACATTAGGGTATTTCGTTACACGTTTTTCTGATGATAGAGAATGCTGGCGCGCCATTCTCGATGCTGATAACTAGTTTGAACTTTTTTTTCAATATGCTAACATACTAGGGATCCCTAGGGGTGAGAAATATGACGGGCTAGGGTCGGTTCAACCTGACTTTAAAAATTCGGGTTGTGTTTTGAAAATTTATTGGATCGATTTTTGGCTTGGAAAAAAGACCGAGATTCTTGTTTCGAGTAACCCACGACTTCTTTGCTTTACAATAGGGTAGCACGAGACCGTTTAGAAACCTCGTTTATTGTTCCCTGTGGCGGGTCAAAAAGAAAAGAGAGAAGGAAAAAGTCTGCCACAGGGAAAAATAAACCTCGAATTAAACGGTCTCGTGCTACCCTACTTTACAATATGGATGGCTGTTGAAAAACAGGCTGTACTTTAGCCGGTGGCCCACTCAGAAACGGGTCAAATTATATACCATTCGATTCGTCTCGGTGAGTTGAGTCGAATGGTACCACTCTTTTCTTTGCGGAAATTCCTATGAGCAGAGATATAGGTCCTTAAAAACCGAAAAACAATAGGGGGGACCAAGCACCTTTTTGGAGTGAAAAATTCGAATATGCAAATTATACCTCTTTCGAAAGAGCTCATCGTGTTGAGTCGAATGACACCAAAATCAACGAAATCCGACTTGATCTGGGAATTTTTATAAGTATATCAGGATGGACATACCTAACTGAATTAGGTAACAAGTAAATTTCTTAAGAAAAGGTCGCAAATTCTCAAATTGATTAGTAACTGTTTGAACTTTAGTATATTCGTTTTGTCGCCCCAGTGTCTGCACACTGTTCCATAAGTTTAAGTTACCCCATTTTTTGAAAAATAATTTCGTGAAATAATATGTCATCGAATTGTTGCGGACAAACAAAAGTTTTTTTACCAGAAAAATATTTTTTCCAGTGCTAAACATGGACCTGATTATTATTATGATACTGGTGATCCGGAATACTTATGCAACTATGTTTACAATTTTTTAAAGAATTTTTTGTTTATTAAAAAGAAAAAAGTTTGGACTAAATTAAAGCCTTTTGTTTATAGAATTAATTTACCATCGCCAGAAAAGTATGAAGATCTCCAAAAAATTAAGTTTAGAAGAGTAATAAAAACTCAAAAAAATAAGAGATGGTTAAAATTAAAGAATAAAAAGTATTTTTTATTTAGAGCATATTAGAAAGAAAATTTCTTAAAAAATTTTTGAGGACATGTTTTGAGGACAAAATTTTAAATTTCTATTGTTTAATGGATACCGTTAGCTGTTAACCAAAACTTTATGAAAAAATTGAAACCAAAAAAAAAGAAGGAAAAAAAGCTCAACCTTTGCCTAAAAATTTTTTGTCCGCAAAAATTTTTTTGTCCGCAAATTTTTTTGATAAATAATAACCTTTTGTAATTTCATTATTTTTCATTTATTTTCCTCTTTTAAATTTAAAATATGATTTTTCTTAACTGCCTTAATAAAATTTTTTTATATTTTTTAACTACCTCAATGCTGCCACCATATTTGTTTATTTTTACAAACTTTTATTTGATAAATAATAGTTTTTTAAAATATTTTTTATATATTTTTTAAATATTTTTCAGATAAATTTAAATGTGTTTATGGTAAAATTAAGGCCAACCTCCACACTTTTTTCTGTCAGAAATTTTGGGTAAAAATTTTTTTTTCTTAAAATTTTTTAAAATTTAAAGTAATTATTTACGAGGACCTGTTATTGGAATTAATTTTGGTTTTACAAATTCCTCTGTTGCCATTTTAGAGGGCAGAAAAGCTAAGGTTTTTATCTTTTATTTTTTTTAAAAATTGACCGGTTTCTTGACCTGGAATCAAGGGATATTTAAGGAATTTGGAGGATAAAGAAGAATACCGCGGGATTTGTGTAGGTTAAAAGTTTTTGGTGGATTTTGGGTAATAAAGGAATATCAGGGGATTTAGTGAATTGGGAGGGGTATCGCTGGATTAGGAGGGACATCGAGGATTTGGGGGGTATTAGGAGGAAATAGGGGCATTGGGAGGGTTTTATTTTTATTTTTTATAACACTTAAAATCTCTTGATCTTGACAATGAGTTTAGGAATAATTAAAGTCTTGACTCTATTAAATTTTTAGGTTCTCAAAAATGACGAAGACTCTTTCACTACTCCCTCAGTTGTAGCCTTTATTGAAGACGGGGAATATTTAGTTGGTGCCCCAGCTGTGAGACAAGCTGTTTTGAATAGTCAAAATACAATTTTTGGTATTAAACGATTAATTGGACTCAAATATGATGATGAACAAGTTCAGGATTTTATGTAAGAAAATTTTTCTAAATTTAAAAAGACCTAGTCAATAACCAATTTTTTGATACCTCAGAAATTTAGTTTGCGGCTTACATACAAGGGAACATTTCGAACTGTGACCAAAAATTTTTAAATAAAAATTATACCATCGTATAGAGCGTGGTCGAAAACGTATTGTAGTATCCGGCTTTTCTTCCCCTGACCCCCGTTTCGAAAAGTTATAGGGCTTCAAAGTTTTTAGTGAATTTGTATAGGAAGGGTTCCAAGAGGTCGCAGGATCACCCACGTCTAAGCGTTTACCTCTCGATAGACCTATAAATTTGTGAATGCGTTGACCTCCTCTCCGCATTATTCTGCCATCCTAGGCTCTTTCACTCCCCTTTTAACCATCAATAGTTTCATTTACGGAATAGAAGCCCTCTCGTTCTGGCACTTTCTCATTTTGATGACACATAAAAACAAGTAAATTTGCTCCCCTTTAATTTGTCCTCATAAATATGTCCAAGTACTCGTGTTTGGGATAATTCACAAATTTTTCTTTATAGGAAAACCGTTCCATACAAAATTGTAAAATCTTCTAATGGTGATGCTTGTATTGAGATTCAATCAAAGCTTTATTCTCCTTCACAAATTGTTTCCTTTATTTTACTAAAATTGAAGCAGACAGCCGAAAATTATTTAAATAAAAAAGTTGGGGATGCAATAATTACAATTCCTGGCTATTTTAACGACTCACAAAAACAAGCATTAAAGGAAGCTGGTAAACTTGCGGGAATGAAAATTTTACGGTTTGTTGATGATTCTGCTGCAGCCGCAATTGCTTGTGATTTTGGACGAGGATCACGTGAAATGTTTGTTTTTTTTTTAAGTGAAATTCTGGCCCCCTTTCTCTAATTCCTCCCTATTTTACCCATATCCTCCAATTATTTCGATAAATGGGACGAGGGACTTGGAGCTATCGGAAATTTATTGAGAGATGAATTTTTCGTAAATTTGGAGGCCACTCGTCTTTATTTGACACGTTTAGGGTGAAATAGAACGAAGAACCCTAGATGAGGTTCCCAAAAAATTAATTTTATTAAAAAATTTCTAGTGCTGTTTGTAACTTAAATGGAGGCATTTTTGAATTTTCCATTTTGAGGGTTCAGGATGAGGCTTATGAAATTCTGTCAACTAATCACAATCCTTTACTAAGTGGCGATGCTTTCAATAATGCTATTGTAAATTATTTTGTTTCTGAATTTGAACGAGAAAATGGAATTGATTTGAGCAAGGTTTTTTAAATTAAAAAAAATTTTAAAAGTTAATTGTTCTTTGTAGTTCAAATCCTGGTCCATTCATTTGTTATCTTTTTTTCCTTCTTTATTGATCTTTTCCCGGTTCCTCCTAAAAAACAAGCGGTTTAAATTTTTTATGGATCCCTGAACATGTCGAAGATTCTCCTTATTTTTACCTAAGGCAGGGAAACTGAAAAAAAGACATGGCAATTTTGGTTATATGCAGAAGAGTCTTCCTATTTTATCTGACACGAGAATTGGCGTTAGTTTAGTTACAATTTTATTTTTTAAGGACCCTGTTGCAATTCAACGCTTGCGTAAAGCTTCTGAAAAGGCAAAATGTCGACTTTCAAGTTGTACACAAACTGAAATTATTCTTCCAAATATTTTTGTTGATACTAATGGACCTCCTAAACATTTTCGAATAAAATTGACACGTTCAAAATTTGAGGAATTGACTGAAAATTTGATACAAAAAATTGAACAACTTGCTCAAAGAACATTAAATGATGCTAAAATGGCAAATCAAGCAGATGATAAGGATTTACAATTAAATGAGGAGGAGGAGGATTTACAATCTACTGGAGTTACCTCAGTTTTGACCATTGGAGGGATGTCTAAAGTACCTAAGGTTTTTTTTAAATTTTTCAAATTTATTTTTCATTATTTCTCTCCCACTCGCCCCATTTTTTTTCTTTTCCATTTTCTTCAAAAAAATTTTTTGAGGGTCACTCGCCTCTCTGTTTTCCTTTTTTTCTCCAAAAAAGGGAGGGTGGATAATGGAAAGTATATTTTGTTTTGTTTTTTTTTTAATTAATTAAATGTAGATTAGAAATGTTATTGAAGAAATTTTCAAGAAGGAAATATCTGATTCTCAACTTGAAGATGGAGAAATTTCAACTGGAGCCATTTATTTAGGTGTTCTTTTTGGTGATATAAATTATTTGGATGATAGACGAACATCTAAAAATCGAATTTTTACAATGGTATTTTTTATACGCTCATAGGTCCATCTAGCTCATAGGTCCAATCTTGCAAATTTTAATTTTCAATCTTTTTTTTTTATTTTTAGGCTTCACAAAAAATGTTTATTGGAGACAGAAAAGCTGTTGGATTACAAAATCTCGCTAAGCATGTTTTTATTTTTATTATTTTTCCAAAGGAAAATTTTTTCTTATAGTTTTGGAGAATTATTACAATTATGATTAAAGAATATTATATTGCATTGCATATTGATATTCGATCAAAAAAAGCAACACGAACATTAGGAGTAGTTATCCGTAGGGGACCGTCGCGGCTGTCAATAACTGACCCTTTTCCTTTTGGGGTAAATTATTGCCAGCCGGTCAATTAAAACCTATTAAGAGGGTGTTTTAACCTTTTATCTTGCCGCAATTTGTAATTGTATTAATTTTTATCCCTTTGAAGTTGCCGACAAAAAATAACATAATTATTTACAAATTGTTTTTCCCGCGACGGTGATTTAGTATTTACAATGTAAATACTAATTGTTTTTTGGCGCAAAGCCGCGACCACAATTTTCGCGCAACCCGCGACGGTGATTTTCGCGCAAAATTTTATAGACGACGGTGAAACTCCTTGTAATACAAATTGTTTTTTCAGGACGGTTACCACGAGCGTGAAACTTTCTGAACTTTAATTTAAGTATTTAGTTTGCAGACATTAATTGTTTACCCATTGGTAATTGACATCTTTTTATCTATTTAATGTACCGATAATTTCAAGTACAAATTGATTTTCGCGCAATAATTTTTTAAAATTTTTAAAAATTTTTAAAAATTTTCTTTTAAATAAAAATAAAATTAACTTCTTTAAAAACTCTTTGGTATGCTGGCAAAATGTTTTAATTTAATTACATATTGTTTCATCGATTAAGTATCATATGGTTTCGCGCAAAAATATTTTAAATTAATTAAATTTTTATCCCTTTTGAAGTGACAACAAACCTATCTAATTACTAATTGGTTCCTTAAAAATTAAGAGAAATGGTAAAACTTAAAATTTATAAAAATATAAAAATTAATTTATCAAATAAAATCAACTAAAGTTATTGGTATCTGTATAATAACAATGGCAGATGTGGACAATAAACGAAAAAATAATTGTTAAATAGTAAGAGAATATTTAAAATGAAAATAGGAAAAAGGAAAAAATAGGAAATCGAGCAAATAAAAGTGGGAAAGGGGCAACTTGCCAAAATAATTATAATAATGGCGCGTCATTGAGAATGTTAAATAATTAATGATCAACAAATAAAATGAAAATCGTAATATGCTTTACCTATAAAGCAGAGGTTCAATAATTAGTCTTCTTAACTTATCTAAAGTAAATAAAAATAAAATTTCCCTCCAATTTAAAAGGAAGGCTTAGAGAAAAAATAAAAATGTAAATGAAAAAATGAAGGAGAAGTAATTTAAGAAGTAATTTAAATCCAATTCTTTTAAAATAACATTTTTATGGAAGGAGAGATATTTTTCATTTCTCGAATATGTATATCCAACTGAAAGTCTAGGGAATGGGGATAGCCATATATAGACATGTCTTGAAAAAAGGGGCGTGGCTATCTAAAGTAATTTTTTTGCAAACTTTTTTAAACTAAAAATTAAAATTTTTAAGGTAAAATTAAATTTCCTGCCATTTTCTAAAATCATTCTTAAAATTTTTCCAAAATAATGGCAATCAATATGTCCAACAAAAAAGCTCTCATTGGACAAATTCTCCCCGAAATAGAATTTAATATTACTGCTAACGGCCTAACAATTTCTGCTTCCGAACGTATTTCTACTCCTCGTTTTGTGCCTTTTGACCATGCCGGTCGATGTCGAGAATGTAAAGGATCCGAAGTGGAGCTCGACTTTGTTGTAACAAAAGAAGGGTTGACTTGTTATTGTACTCGAATTAAAACACCCACATTCATACCGTTTGACACCATCCACGATCTTCCAGGCCACTGTTTTTTTAAAGTATTTATTATTAAAATAAAAAATTTTATTTTCTTAAATTAAAGATCAAGAACAAGGGTCGAATCTTCAACATTGAACATGGATCTCCACCATGTGCAGCGACCCCTATTATTAAAAATATTCAGCCCGAGATAAATGAAGTTGAAGTGTCTCCAATAAAACCACCTTCGCCTAAGAAGATAAAACAAGAGATTCCAGCTGATGAAGAATTTGAAAATATTCTTCAGGAATTCTTCGACAACATAGGCTGTACCACTACTAGTTCTACTACTACAGCCACTGTTCCGATAGAAAAAGAAAAGAGTGAAGAAAAAATTACAAAAGAACAAGAAAAAGAAGTTATGGAAAGTCCACCTCATATTGTAAATTTAGATAATATACCGCTTCCTTGATTTGTAAATCCTAATCTTTTTAAATAATTTATTTGTATTATTATTACTTATCAATTTCAATGGAATCAATTAATTTTTCTAGTAAAGAATTAAAATTTAAACTTCCATTCGGTCTAATTATTTCTGGACCAAGTTCCAGTGGAAAGAGTACTTTTCTTCTAAGATTTATTACACAAGCATTGGATTTAATCGATCCACATCCTAAAAGTATTCTCTATTGTTTTGGTGAAATGAGTAATATTGTCCCCGTTCTTCAAAAATCTGGTGTAGGGGTATTCGCTGGTGTGCCACCCGAAGATGTAATTAAAAGACTTCCAAAACCTTCACTTGTTATTCTCGATGATTTATTACTCACTATCGATGAAAAATATTTGTCGGAATTATTTACTAAAAAGTCACACCACCAAAATTTTTCTATAGTATTTGTAACGCAAAACTTATTTGAAAAGAAAATTAAAGTTGCCAGGCAAAATGCTCAGTATATAGTTATTATGCGTTCTCCAAACTCTGTTCTTTCCGTCAGAAACATTGGTGCTCAACTTTTTCCCAAGAAGTTAGATTATTTTCTCGATTCCTATCGGCAAGCAACAAACATTCCTTATGGATACCTATTAATTGATATGCATGCTTCTTCAGATCCTACATTACGTCTTCGTACAAATATTTTTAAAAACGACAACGAAAAAATAATTTTCATTCCTAAAAATGGGGTCTAAATCTCAGTGCAATATTAGTTCACTTATTATGGATAATAAAGACTTTTTAAATTCATTGGCAAAATCAAAATCGGATAACAAACGTCATGGAATGCTTAAACAAGCTAACAGTCAGCAACTTCTTGCTATCGCTGAGATATGTTTGAATATTGTAAAAGCGCGTTATCAACTAACTACTCGCCAACGGAAACGTCTTTTACCCTATGCTGAATTTGTTCGCCGCATGAGTCGTGCCAGAAGTGAGAGGGGAGCAAGAAAAATTATCTCTCAGAAGGGAAGTGGGTTAGGAGGTGTCCTTACAGCTCTTCTTACCCCTATACTTATAGAAATTGGAAGAAAAATTATAAAAAGTGATACCGATACAAATTAACTATTCATTTATATTATCATTATTCATTTTAAAAATTTTAATAAAAATTAAAAAAAAAATATGGCAAATAAATTTATTCTTGTCCCAGAGGATATTTATCGTGGTCTTACTACAAGCGATGTAGGCGAACCAATTCTAGATTTTACTCGTCGTGCTTTAGAAAGATCTAAAAGAAGAAAAGAAAGTGAATCCTCTAAAAATGTTCACTATAATCAAGAGTTGAGGAGATATTTACAATTGAGAAATGAACGCGAAAATAGACCAGTTAAAGTTGAACTAGTTAACAATAAATCTAAAGGCACTATTGTACCCAAAAGTAATTCACAGCGCGCATCGTATATTTCTGCAAATGATGACATAGATAACGACGACAATTGGATTAGTGATAATTCTTTTTCATATTATCCCCAAGAACCCCCTAATCACGCATACAATATTGTCCCTTCTCTTTCTTCATCCTCCATTCCTTCAACAACTAAAAGTGATCAAAATATACAATTAGATCCAAGACCTACATCAAATCAAGCAGTAGAAAGAAATTTGAAAAATAATGGTAAAAGAATTAATATAAAAAGAGAAATAAAAAAGAAAAGGAAACCAAAGAGAAAAACAAATAAAAAATTTTCTCCACCTGAAGATATTTCAGAGCCAAACTCTGTTATAGCATCACAAAATGCACCATTAAGTCCTTCTCCTCCCATACCTCTAGAAGTTTCAAAGAGAGAATTAGACTCAGCTGACTCAGATGTGTTTAAACGTAGAAGAAATAGTGATATTAGACAAGAGAGATTAAAAGAGATTGCGCAAGAAGAGAGAAGAAGAAAAGTATTAGAAAGAAAAAGAGATATTAAAAAATATAAAGTTCCTATAGACCAATCAGCTTTAGCTCAAGCTAGAAAGGATGATGATATCAAAAGGCGTCAAAAACTAAAAAGAAAATTTGTTATCCCCGAAGGAACTACCCTTATCCCTATTAAAAGATTAAGAAGACCTGTTACAAAGAAACAATCAGAAAATGCATCAAAAAGTTGGATTAAAAGATTAGCCGCTGCAAGGATCAAATTAGGAAAAAATAAATGGGCAAACCAAAAGCCTACACAAGAGGATATTAATAAATTTAAACCTACACTTTGGTAATTTTCTAAAAATGGCTAACTTTACAAAACTTCTCGACAGACTTTACAATGATCCTAATTCCCCTTCAGCTTATGCGGGTGTAGATAGTTTATGGAGGGAGGCAAAGAAAACGTTTAAACATATACCAAGAAATGTAATCAAGCATTATTTGGAGGGGCACCGTACCTATACCCTTATGCGCCAAAAGAGGGTGAACTTTAAAAGAAGTAAAACTATTG